CACACGCACTACACTACCACACATACCGGGAGACCGGTCAGGAGATACCTGATTGAAGAAAATCCGCAAGCCGGTGGTAGGTCAGCGCCATAGATCGCCATCCACCGGGCCAAGATCGCTGCCATCTCCCGAGTAAAAACATCCACTACACGTACGGGATCAGTGCTTACTGGACGTGAGCAGGTGATGCGCCCGGAATCACTGGTAACCAATCAATTAAATAATTGCTTTTGCATCCTCTTTGCTACACCTTCTTTCATTCGAATTTCTTCGGCGGCTTCAACAACATATTTCACTCTTGCGCGAAAACGTTGAAGGGGAAAGAGGGCAGGGGCCGCGGGGGTGGTTGTCCGCGTTCCCGTTGGCCGCGGGGAAGAAGTGGTTTGTTTCAAAACGTCCGTCCGTCTGTTGTTCCGGCCAACTGTCCGTCCGACTATGAACACCACTAGCGTATAAACCATACGTAGTATTTTTTTTCCAAATTGAAGAATCCCGTGTCCCTCTGGCTCGAGTCGAAGCTTTGTGTTTTTGGAAAACATTCTTTAAAATTTTGGGGTACTTTACGTAAAGCTCCCCGGATATTATCAAAATTTTCTCATAAACGGATCCATGTTTTTTAACGTTGTTGACCTTTCAATACATTCCTAAACATTGCATGGTTTAATAATATGGATAATGAAAACATCAACTTACAATTTAAACAATACATTTCTGATGTGTATCTATGTAAGAATACATTAATAGATAAGAATGTGTATACGGTTAAAGGGCGCTTTAACATATCACTGCAATGCCTCTGAGCGGGAGGTCCTAGGTTCCACTCCGGACTGTGGCGGCAGGATTTCCGGCCCTCGCTACACACCGAGATCAAATTCAGCCGTTGTCTGGAGGAGAATTGTAGCGCAGGCCGCTTTGATCCGTACTATTGGTTTCTCTCACCGAGCGAAGTGGCTCAGTGGGAAGCGCGCTGACTTCGCACTCGGGAGGTCCGGGTTTGATTCCCGGGCCGGCCATCCTGACCGGGGTTTTCGTGGTTACTCTCGGTCATAAGGCGAATGCTGGGATGGTTCAAAAAGTCCATGATCATCTTTCACCAATATCCCATCACCTCCTAATCCATTAATAATAATACTAATAATAATAACAATATTATTATTATTATTATTATTATTATTATTATTATTATTATTAATTCACAGCGGGGACAAAGTTGCTCGCGTCCGTGGTCTACCGCACATGTCCTCCACGTCGCTAAATGAGCCACAGCCAACTGATTGATTGGCCACCTACGCGCTTGACCATTGTGGGCGTGCGGATGGCTACAAGCTAATGGGAAAGTCTGGGCGTCTATACTGGTCGGCGAGTCACCAAAAGGCTAACATGCCAAGGGTGGGCGTTGGCTAAAAACACCTATTGGTTTCTCCGATCAACTCCACGTGAATGTTGGAGCAGTAACGTAACATACGAGCCACAGACCGCGCGATATTTTTCCTTCCTCTTCCTTGTCTTAACACCACCATTTACACACACTTACGTTAATATGCGTTACACTACTACACATGCCGAGAGATCAGTCGGGAGCTTACAGTGGGTGCGGGCAGGCAGGATGACCGGATGGCAGGTACCTGATGAGGAAAATATCCTCATAAGCCGACGTAAGTCTGCGCCGGATCTCGTAAATCAGCGGAGAAAGATCAGCGCCACCTCCCGCGATGAAAACGTGACTAATGACCTTCTCCGTTGTCGCGCCCGGAATCACCAATCAATCATTCAGTCAATGATTAAACGTCGGTCTAGTATAGTGGCAATACACAGTGTGAATTGCGGAGGAAATTCCCGGGAACGTTCGCTTCTATACAGACAGTTTGATGTTTCTTGCTTGAAAAGTATTACTTTCCCCTGCCAAAGACACAATTAATCCTTAACTAAGTTGTCCTGTCAATTTATGTCTTCCTCTCTCAGAAAGGTTCAAATCAAGGAATACAAATCAGGATAAATGGAAAAGATAACTTTTCCAAGAGCATTGATTGAGTTTATTCAGACTTCGCTGCCTAATAATTCAAGCGAAGATGGACTTCGGTCCACTCCTTAAACTCGGCCGTTCGTCCCTTTGAATAAAGTGGCCAATTCGCGCCCTGCACTCGAGCCAAGTAGTCAGAGAGGTGCTCGGTTCGAGTCCTGACGGCGCGGTGGTAGAATTTCGGTACAAGGTAAATATTGTGGCTGGGGTGGAACAAGTTAGTTTAGCCGATCCGGTGGCCGAGATCGCTAAGGCAGTAGTGCCCTAGCGAACTCGGACCGAAGGATCGCGGGTTCGAGTCCCGCCTCGGGCATGGTTGTATTGTGTTTCGTCCTTTCATCCCCTATCATCATCATTATCGTGTCAACCCACAGTTACCATACCGTTACAAGCAATAGTGGTCGCTAATGACCTAGTAGTTGATGCGACCTTAAATAACAAACAAACAAACAAACAAGTTAGTTTAGTTGAATTCTAAAGGGTGTTCCCTCTTCCCGATCTCTTCCGCAATGTTCTTGCACCAATTCCCGCTGAATGTCGGAGCAATACCTAAACCAGAGCAGCTTAAGGGGCACATCTACGAGCCACTTCATTGGCGCGGTGCGTGTTGATTCAGCTGATCGGGAGAGGTATGGGCGCGATCGGCTCTAGTCCAACCAAAGGCATGTGAAACGTGGGTCATTCTACGGGGGGAACCTGAATAGTTTTGCCCCAATTCTTGAATTTGTGAAGCGCTACTGAAGGCAACGGGCGTCGTATTACTCGTGATCGTTCCCCATCTTGCCCATCTCAGCGTATAAACCAGCCTTAGGACCGGGCTGCGCGTGAAGTTTCTGAAGGTCGAACAATTTAGGAAATACTCTGGCAGTTGTGCGTGAATGCCAGTGTACGGCCATAAGTCAGGGAAGTATTCTCTAATACTATAATTCGATTTATTGACAGAGTCTGTTGACATTTGATCAGATATTACGATGTCATCGAATCGCAGAATGTTACGAGTCATCACTACTGTGTGTACCCGATTGGATGACACCGTAACAGATGATTTACGTCAGCTATGTTTCGATCGAAGTATATTGATAGAGAAAGATTGGCTGTACGCAGTGTCAAAATAATGAGCAGAAATTATTGCCTTCCCTGCCAAAGGAGAATGTGTCGAAATATGAGAAAAGGGAATTCCTTAGCCCAGTTGAGGCGAGTGCGGCGCGTGGACGGACGCCTTGGTGGAACGCGCGGAGCGAGAGTGGGCGGGGGCGGGGCTGGCCGTAAGCCGGCGCGCGCTCTTTCATACGGGGCGGCCGGCCGGCCCGGGGCGTCGCGTAGCGTCCGGTGGGCGGGGGGCGGGGCGTGGCGCCGGCTGCAACGGCCTTGACCCTGGTAACGAGGCCTCGTGGGGCCGCTGCTGCTGCTGCTGCGAGCAGAGAGAGAGGAAACGAGGTCAGCGAGGCGGTAGGTCAGGCGAGGTCTTTACCCTCGTGTGATCGTTGACCTAGGGTCGAGGCGGGGAGGCGGCTGGCTGCACGGGCAGGCGAGGTGTTTTCCTCCTCCTGCCGCCGCCGCCGCCGCCTCAGTTCAGAACACGCAACGCCGGCGCCCCACAAAAGAGCGCGAGGAGGCGAGCGCGGACGGCGGCGGGGCGGGGGCGGGCGCGCGGCCGCGACGGCCCCAGAGGCGCAGGGCGTGCGAGCGAGAGCGCCACGCAGGCGGACGGCGGCGGCCGGCCGGGGCGGGGCGCGTGGCGGGGCGGGGGCGGAGGCCGGAAGCGGAAGGAAGCGAGGAGCCGCGGGGGGCGTGGGGGGGGGGCGGCCGCGACGCGGGCGAAGCCCAAGCTAAGGCGGAGCCCACCGCCGCCGCCGCCGCCGCCGTCGCGGCTTTGCTCTCCTCCTAATGATTTATCCCGCCGCTACCCCTGGAGGGATGGCGGGCGGCGGCGGCGCCGCGCGTGCGCGCTTGTGTTGGTTGCCGCCAGCTGAGCCCGCCCTGCCCGCCCTCCGCCCCGCCACAGACTGCCTGCCGGCGGCCGCGAGGGCTCTGTCGGCGTCCGCCCTCCGCCGCCTCCACCTATAAGCACCCTTTTACTCGCCGTACTAAGCCGCCGCCACGTGGGCGCGCTGCCGGCATTGAGGAGGCACCGCCCCCGCCCGCCCCCGCCCTCGTCTTCACGCCGTCCCGCGCGCCTGCGGCCCGTCGCTCGCAAGTCCATTGCCCGCGTCTCGACTCGCGTATATAAATCGCCCGGCGACGGCGTAGTTCGAGCCGCGGCGACCGCTGATGGTTGCTCGACGTACCACGCGGCGCCGCGGGTGTTACTAATCGGGACGCTGGCTCGGGGTCGGTGGTGAGGTGGCGGTCGTAATGAGATCAGGTCCGTGCGGAGAAGCGTCGGCCGTCTGGCCCGGGTGAGAACTGCGCGTAACGACTTATATGCCGCGCTATTAACGCGTGCGGCTTCTTTTTCTACCATCGTCTCTTTCCTTTGCCGTGTGCAGGATGGTGTGCTTCCATTATGTCTAATCTAATAGTTTCATTAATTCAAAATAATGTCACGTCAAAAGAAATATAATTGAAATTACCATAGTTGTTGAAAAATATACCCTTCTAGTAACATTGTTCACAAATTCAAATTGCCCGCTTCCTTGCACAGCTTAATTTTTTTTTTCTCTTTCAATCAGATGCTTTATCAGTATTAGGACAATGGGGCCTCCATGCGTCAATTTTCAGGTGAAAAAAAAATCAAAGCAACGAGTATCACCTGAACACTGTGCGAATAATAACGTGGCGAAAAAGTGGTTAAATTAAGAACTATAAATTCTGGTTAGTGAGGTTCGAGCAACCGACGTTCCATTGAAACTGTACAACACATGTTACATTTGATTCTAACGTTCGCATAATCCTGTTGCACATTTTTTCTCAAAGATTGCAAACGCTTAAGAGATGGAATGTGTTTATTTTGGTGCAGACAGCTTTCGTAATTGCCGTAATGGCTGTTGCAGGCTTCGCGCGCGCCATCTGCCGTGGGAGCTGCCGGCTGCTGGCTCGGAGGTCTCACGGTGAGTGCCGGTCGGCCCATTGCTGCTGTCGATAATCTTCCGTCACGAACTCAATTACTCTGAGAGATCTGAGATTTCAAGACGTTTGCTCAGTTCGGCGATGCTGCCGAGATATTTTGCTTTTTCTTTTATATTGTGAACGAATCTTCTCCATCTTCCTTTTTTTACCAATTTCAAGAACCTCGTTAGCTCCTCTGCTTTATTTTCCCTTGGAAATATATTTTTGTGATCATGAATTGATTCTTAACACAAGTACCCAATAAAATCGAGATTCGTGCCCCGTAAAGTACGTTCGTGTACCAAGAGAAAGGAGAACTCGTGAGTGTTTTTCATTGTACCCCGTGGACTGTCTTTTTTTTTGTGTCGATATATAGAGAAAAGAAGGGCACATGTTAGTCATTGTAGTATATTCTGTTACTGCAGTAACGTTGTACTTCACTTACGAATTATTTATTGATTACAGCGCTTAACAATAAGAACACCTCGTAGAAAATCGTTTTATGAAATCCACTGCTTCAAGCAATACTTACTTCCACGACATGATGGACAAATTCAGAAAGGAAACATGTGGGTACGATAAAACATTTCTGTGTGACACAGAATGTTTGAATGCAATTATGAGTCAGGAGTTCGTAACAAAGGAAAACAGAGAAAAGTTCCAACGATGAAACGAGAATATTTTAGCTACTATCTGAAAATAGATGTGGCGTTTAGCCATACAACTGAATGCAATGTTTTCATTAAACACACAGTTAGTGACCTTTAAAAATAATAATTGGTTTAACACATCCAGAGATGTATATTTTATCACAGAGATGATGTAGATAGAATGTTGGTCTCGAAGGTCACTCGTTGAAAGCATGACGTTGGAGACGTCTACATGCAATCAATTATATTGCTACAAAACGCAAGGTCAGAGATAGTGTTAGACGCACTGCGGTCAGTAAAATTATCAACAATCAGCTCTGTCAACTGCGAGGAACACAAGATCCCGAGATACACGTGGGTCAAAATCTACAATCAGTCTTGTAAAGATCTTTCAAGGCTAACGAATATATAACACGACATATTTAATAACAGGCATTAGAATGAGGTTGTGAAACATTTTGATCGAACCATCAAAATAACGTCGTCAAATGTTAATAGAGTTGGAAGCTAATGCAATATATGGGAGTTGGTATTTAGATTCAGATGTATGTTCATTTTTTTACTGCGAATACCAAATTAGCGAAAAACATACTTCCGTTGTCCTTTTCTATCCCCTTGAAATTTGGTGTTCTGAAGTCATAAATAATAAATTCCATTCTGGTAGAACCACCAATATTCGGGCAGAGAGCATCCCCGAAAGAGCTGTTCTCAATGCAGAGATTTCTCTGGCGTATGAATTTTTTTCTTACTAGAAAATTATTTTCTCTATTTCTATTTAAAATGTGAGTGGCAGAAAAAACTGTTACAATTTCCGAGCATCCAGTTCCAGAGAATATGGTTATTAAAAGTTGCTACGAATTGTTTTCAACATAATTGATTGGGTTCAAAATTCATACATTTCGCTTGCTCTGAAAACAATGTCAATGATGTTACCCCACACCACGCACCCAATGAGTTTACATTGCCGTTCGCTTTGCAGTACTGTTATCATATATCAAATTTGCATAACGGAACGAAGAATTTACGAAAGTAATTTCTTGTACTCAGGGGAGGTAGCCTATATCATCTACATCGTCTCGTGGTCTCTCCTAACTTTCTGGTAATTGACACCATTCGCGTATCACGCGCAAGTACACCGGATGGAAATAAATGGTGCCACCATACTCCAGGTAAACTCACGTCCAAACAAAAAGGTATATCTTCTTTCTTCAACCGAATTCCAGTCGCTGCTTCACGTCCATGTGGTTCACAATGCTGAGGGAGTCTTTTCAAATTATGGGAAGGGGACCCAAAGTGTCATCGCCTGGCCTTTAAATTGCGGTAGGACAGTTGACGCGCGATCCACTTCCCTTTGTTTTCAGGTATTTCTTTCTCAGCTAAGATATCCGTCTGTAATCGATATGAGGAAACGAGAGAAACCGCAAAAATATACAACATCCTCCTTGAGTTCTTAGCCAGATAGCGGCTTCGTTGGACCGAGGTTTCTAGCTCCTGTCAAAAATGCCAGTTAGGATTCGGGCCTAGAACACCCAAGTGTACGAAGCGTCAATTCACCTACAATTGCTAACGCTGCTTGAAAATATTCATTTTAATCTACGCTTATTGCTTGTTTTCATAGATACAATCGTTGTTTGCAGCTGCATTTAATAAACACAGTTGTATTAAAATGTTCCCTAACAAACTCCGATGTTTCCTCCTGAAGGTTCTTAGAGGCAAGGCATCATAATCCCCTGATGTCGACCCCAAATGAAAGTGGTATAGCCACCAGTTGCCGTCATATTGACCCCCCACGAAAGATCTAGAAGCGATAGGAGAGGAAAATGGCATTCCAGAAAGGGAGGACATGAGAAATACCTGCCCCTTCCTTATTAACACATAATATATGCCATTAGTTTTGCACTGAATATTTGTTCCTGCATATTCTGAGAAGGGAAACATAGAGTATTTGCCAGCCACATTGTACGTTTCGTACTTTTCTGTTACTGCAAGAAACATCCAAACATTCCGAAGCGACCTCGAGATTCGCAGACTTTAACTAATCCGAGCGTGACCTTTTCATATCCATGGGACGTGCTACACGTTTGGAGAAATAGACTAAATTTGTTTGGAGAATTTTTTTTTCTGTTCAATTGAACATGTTATGCCCGTTGAACTCGAGTTGAAAGTTTTTCGTTTACTTGCAAAATTGGAAAGAGGTTGAAAAATTGTGATTGAGACGTTTCGTCATCGCGATAGGACAGTAACTCAGAGGCGGGAAAGAGGAAAGTGATTTGAATATAAAAACTGCGAAGTATTCTTGTTAACTGCATTTACGTAAATATTTTGAACATTACATTTAAGACAATCTTGAAGGTGAGGAGACCTCAAGTAATTTCATAGTCATAGTATTATATTTTTTCTTTATTTATCAGCTCTGATGGTGATTTGCTTATCATCTCATATCATCTTATCATATCATCTTATCTCACGATATGATTAGTAAATCATGAGACCAAAAAAAACTTATAGAAAAAATTTATCCCAATTGTCTTCTTAAATTATTTGGAGATCGCTCAGCTTTTCAAGATTGCTTAAAAACTATAAATAAAGAACAGGCTAATTCCGAATACCAAATTTGTATATTACAGGTGCCCGTGTAAACCGTTTGTTAGCGCGCGGTTCTCCTTTGTGTGAAGACACGTCTATTGGAGTTGCTGCAAGCGGCTCAGAGGTAAATCCGCCCCTGATGAACATTGAGGTCGTGTAGGACACGGCGCGCGCCGAGGGGCGTCAGCGATGAGCCCCGAGATCCCGGTTGAGCGGCGCGGCGGGGCGGGGGCGGACGCGGGCGGGGGCGGGTGGAGGCGAGATGAATTCCAGGCGGAGGCCGACGCCCGTGCACCCATCGATCTCAGCCCTCGGCTGCGTCTGCCCGGAACAGTTCGCCGCGGTGCCGCTCGCGCGCGCGCGCGCTCCCTTCACCGGCGACTCCGCGCGCCCGTCGCCCTGCGCACCCGCCCACTCCGGCCAGCAACTGGTGCACTGCAGCCTCTGACCGGGCTCGCAGGGTCCGAGCTGAACAGCTAGTCGAGTCACAGTTACTGGAGGAGAATTTTAGCATCCGAGGCCCTGTTGGTAGTTTTCCCGTGCTTCACCACCGGAATGCCGAGCAGTTTCGAACCCTCTAACAAACGGGCGCGGACCGCGCGCGATCTTTAACAACACTACTTATTAATGATCCTATCCATACAACAAACTACACTAATATAACAACCGACATATCCTACCATTACGAGAGAACGTCGGAAAGCTTAGAACTATGTCCCTGAGAACTAGAGAGCCCAGGTAGCTGGAGGGAGATGCTTGAATGGGGAAAACCCAGCAAGCCGACGGGAGGTGAGCGCTTGACCTTGACGCGACTGCAGAGGACAATCACCAGCTCCGAGAGGAAGACATGCATTCCACTTACGGTACTAATCACCTGAGCAGTTGTAATGAGCGCACCCGTAATCAGTATCAATCAATCAATCCGTCCTTTCTCGCCCAGCCGCTCGTCCGCCGTTCGACTGTTTTAACTCGACTAATCGTGCATCCATTCGCCCGTCCTTCTGGACCACACAACCACACATGCAGTGACCGTGTGGGAGCTTAGAGCTTGTCCCGACTGAGGTGGTTCAACGTTGATGGGAGATACGTGGTTGGCGAAAACTTCGCTTGCCGGTGGTAGGTCGCCGCCAATCTCTCCATCCAGCAGGGAAGATCATCGCCACCTCCCGAGTGGAAAACATCCACCACACTTCCGGGACTAATGACCTTAGCACTTGACGAGATCGGAATCAGTAAGAGTCAATCATCCGTCCACCCGTCTGCGCTCCTCCTGGCACGAGAAAGACACTTCACTGACCCAGCCGTCTACTTCCATTCCGACGTCCTATCTCGCTGACAGCTGTTATTTCAAGCACGGATCCTCACATTCTTTCCTCTGCCGTCCCCTCCGAACCATCGCATTGATTTCCCACTGTCCTCTCATCGTCCGCGATTCCGTCTCGGCAGCTCGTCCCACCCGCAACGCCCATCCTTGTGGTTGGCCACGTGCCGTGCCTCTTGCGCCCAGTCCCTTCCACTGCGCACGCGCCGCAGCACTCGCCGTCCCGCCCACGCCTCGCCACAGAATGCCGACTGTTGGCACACGGCCGTGTGGACAGAAGCGCCCGTGCTGGTTCCCTGGCGCCTTCAAATATAGAGCACTTCGCGAATTGATTCATTTGGAAACAACGATTTGATCCGTGAGCAAATGTTTCCCTAGTTCCGTGTAGAGTCGTCGTTTACACGGGTCCATGAATCGGAATTGTGGAAAGACGAGACACTTTCCGTTTCGATTGCTATCGACACGTTACTCGTATTGAACGTCAGGATGTGCTTTCTAGGACATTGTGAACATCCTTCGCAGGCAGGTCAAAGATAATTGCCTTTTTTCATTGCCGAAGGACCTCATTAATTGTTTATTTTAACATATGTTTTTCCCTTTCGTTGTTTGGAAGTGCTATAACGTATCTATTTAGAGGTACAAATATACAGATGAGGCTATCGTAACTGATCTCATCGCTGTTTCATCTGAGTGCATTTTTCACCCCTGGATTCTTTCGACAGACGTACATAGTATATAGGCGTTCATTTGCGCAACCTGTCATGTTCGACGTACCATTACAATCAATTTCCGGCGGCAATTATGCTCATAAATATACATGAAAGGAGTCGTTAAATATTCGCTTTGACCTTCCACCTTACTCGTAGCTGCGAAGTAGCGAAACCGCTTGTTTCAAGAGCGTTCGCGGGGCGTGTCCGGGCTTCGGTTGGCGTCGGGTGTGTTGGCGGGGCGGGGCGGGGCTGGCCAGGGAGGGGCGCAGAGAGGTAAAAATAAGTTTCTTCGATCGAAATGCATTACAGACTCGCCTCGACGTGTGAAATGGACAATTTGTACTTTCGCGATGTATTTTGCTATTAAAAGGATGAAATTGTCTTAATCATTTGATGAGTGTACTTGTGAATACTGGTTGTAATAATGATGCATTTCGTATGATATATTACATAATTTTATGTAAAGGTTACATTTTGTATTTTAATTTTTTTTGTGAAAAAATAAGGATATGTGCGTGTGAGCGTGTCTATCTTCAAGAAGATTATGCGGACCGTACATTTGTAACTATGATTTATTACGTTTTTTTATATTAGTGGTCACAGTTTGAACTTTAAAATATTTTCTTGGAAATTCAGAGTATGTGCGTGTGAACGCTTAAAAGGAGAATGTGCTGGTATAAATCTATAATGTAAATGATATCGCCACCGCCCGAGGCACAGAGTCTATGAAGGGACCAGTTTGACATGCCGCAAAACAAATTAGCGCCACGACGGACAATGACTTTACAAGTAGTAATGTCGAAGTCATTTACAAGGGAGACAATTGCTAACGAAGAATTGAGCGCATGGACATGTTCCACAGTTTTACTGCCAGTATACTAAGATTTATTTAACCGTGCACTTGACATAAATCAAGTGTTCACGGTTTCATCCAATCAGGAGCTTGAACGTCCTCATAGTGATGCCACTGAAGCGACATTGAATGAAAACCCAACAGCTGATTTACGTCAAGTGCACGGTAAAATAAATCGCACCATAGTAGCAGAGCAAGGGCTGTCAACGCAGTCCCTTCTTAGAAACAACCTCTCTGTATTTGGCGAGGACCTTTCCTTTAGTTCAGAACAGACGGGCCGTGAATGAAGCGATGTCACCGAGAAGTACTTCAGCGATGGGTCGAGTAGTGAGCGGACCGCCTTTGACCCCACAGCACCCCCCTCCCATCGTGGGCCCAAGGCCGTCCATGGCTTCCTGTTTCCGTCCTCGCCGGAAGTGTGCACGTCCGGGCTGCCCAAGAGCCCCGCCCCCGCCTCCACAACGGTGTTTTCCTCTCATCCGCCGAACGAAAACACGCGTCCAAGTACTTCTCAATATTGCCATAATTATTCAAAGCCCTGAGGCGTATCATTGTTCTCTCCTCCGCTTCCCACGGTATCTCTCCCTCCCCCTCCCTCCTCATGCCCCCTGCCGCCCCGCTCCGCACACAAAGCCCGGCTCTCTGAATGGATGAGACGGGGAGAGCGAGGCGGGGCGGGGCGGAGCGTTTTAAGACGGGTGGAATTATACATGTGCCATCTTCATAATATAATCACGGTGACAAATGTGTTGTGTAGAGGAACGAGGGGAGGGAGGGGTGAAGCCCGAGTATTGTTATCATGGCCACCCCTTGAGATAAAGATGACGCCCCCGCAGGCGCCGACACGTCTTCTCTCGGCGTGCAAAGGGTGAGGAAAGCAGCCCCTTTTGGTTGACACCCCTGCGTGCGTGACCGGCTCATGCGCAAATCGTCCGGAGTTTGAAGAGATCTTTTTGGTGCTGCTACGAAGAGAGGAAGGGGATGCAGAATGAATAGGCGCACTAAATACTAACTAATTCCTGGAAACGTGCGCTTCGCTTTCGTTGCTTGACCGAGTCCTCGGAATCTCCCTCCGGAACCCGGATGAGTCGGGTGAACAATAATTCTCCGAACTGGCTAGGGAGTTCCCGAAATGTCTTATTTTGAATGTCATCATTCCAAAGAACAAAGCGTAATGAAACATTATCGCCTACGTAATGAAATGTTTCGTGTAATGCTCGCGTAGCACAGGGGGGCATTGTTGTGAGGATGGGCATTTTCGATGTCCAGAACCCCTGTTGAAGAATGCTGTAGAAATATGAATTATCCACATTTTTTTAATGAATATTTTCTGTATTATTTAATGCAAGTTGTAAGGTTTAGGAGTATAACATTTTACTGAACCCCATCTATATCACTCATTGCACTTGCTCCTCTGAATTCGCTCCTGGAAAAATGAAACATTTTTGTAGTTTTTTTATGAAGCAGGGTGTTGAAAAAATCAACGTTTCCTCTTATGTTTTTCTGTCGTATGGTAATACTTCGTGTCATTGGTTGAAGTGATGTGGAGATATCTCGTTCCATCGTTTCTATGATGCTCTTTCTCCATGAGCTAGTATGCTTTCTCGGAAGGAGCGCGAGGCCCTATCAGCTAACAATGCGCTGCCATGCCCGTTGCATTCCTTTTGTCTTCTACATACCCACTCTATCTTTATTGTTTTGCATTCTTGTCTCACATCACACGTACATTCTTGCCTAACACCTCTCATAATTCATTACTCTGCTCATTGTTGTTTCCCCACCAATTTTTCTCAAAATACTGGTTTCTGCTATTTCTACAATTCGTTGAATTTACGCAGTATTTCCTATGTGTATGTAAGTAAATGTTTAATTATGTGTTCATAATTTTTAACTAGCTACAGGGACTTACTACAGTGGCATTTTAAGTATCCGCAAAAAAAGGGATGGTTGTTGCTTGTTAGTGAACTTTCCTCCCTAATCTTCCACAGACACTACTACACCTGAGTCCACTGATCTATTCTTTTCTATTAGTCGGCACACGAGTGCAATCTTTAGGCCAACCGTACGTGTTCACAGCGAGCCCATCCAATCGGAAGCAAACCTAAGCGAACGCGAGAGAGCGAAGTTCACTTATCCGCCCGCGCTTTCGGCCCCTGACCATCCGCAGCGATCCGCTGTGCGTTGCACGGACTTGAAGCTCCTTGAGGCGAAAGGTGTCGACGAGGACAGGTTCCTCTCGG